GTCTCAATTTCTCTTCTAGGTTGTCGACTCCAGCTAATTCCCAGACTTCACTCACAATCGTGCTGCTTTCCTCATCTTTCGCCCAAAAGGATTCAAACATAAAGTTCTTCCCCCACTTAATGTCAACCTCTCTGTCTCCTTCGAAATTGATAAGAAAGTGGAGATGATCATTAACATAATTGCTTTTGGGTAGTAGTCCATCCATCTCTTTCTTACCACTGCCAGATCCAACCTTTCCTCAATGAAGGCCTGCATCTCTCGCTTGTTTTCCCAATTATAAGGGTATCCTATAAAGCCCAGGTCGACAAGCCCACTATCTACCAGGGCATTATTGAATTCAATAAGCTTATGTTCCGTAACCAGCCTACCTCCAACTTTTTCTGCATTAGAACAAATTTTGTTAAAGTCCCCAGCACACAACCAGGCTTCTTCACTAGTATTGTGTTGATTCCTTATCGAATCCAAGGTAGATGGTGGTCTTCCTTCTCAGGCCAGCCGTACACCCCTGTAAAACTCCATTTTTTTTAATTATTTTCTCCCTCGAGCATTTCAACATCAATATGATTCTTTTCCTTTGGTAACATCCTCACCTTAACGTCGTTCTTCCACATTAAGCATAGCCCCCCCCCCCGGCTGTCTGTCCTTCCTCGCCCCCCAATCCTTCTCCAAAAGCTTGGTCTCCATCAAGAACACAACTTAAGGTTTATAAAATCGGATAACCCATTTCAATGAAGCCACTGCCCGAGGATTCCCCAACCCTTGCCAGTTTAGGCTTAGGAGACTCATTTTGATAGGCGGCCCTTCAACTTGACAGGGACCGCCTCTGGTAATGTTGTGTTTGTTGTTTTGTTTCCTCTGCTTCTCTTCTCCTCCATCCTTTTTGTTGTCTCATCTTCCTCCTCCATATCGATATCCATATCTTCTTCGCTCCTTCTTGTCCCTCCTACTATCTTCCTCCTGTTACTTCCTTCTTGGCCTTTCTCTCCCCTCTTAATTCTGGTCCAAGCTTTTTGCCTTGACTTCCTTTCTTCTTATGTTCTTTCACCATCAAATTGGGCTTCTGAATTCCCTTTCTGCTCTTCCTATGTTCCTGTTGGGCCCAAGATAGCCACGCCCGAAAACTCTTGATTAAGTGGCTCAGCTATTTTTCCTTTTCTTTTTCTTTGTGGTTGTTTCCTTCTCCAACATCTTCCACTACTTCGAGATTATTATTATTATTTATTTTTCCTTTCTTAAGGATCTTTCCTTTGTCATTATGATGTTTCTCATTTGCTTCCTCGTCTTATGTACCATCCCCTTCTTTTTCATTGGTCCCCATCTTTATTAGATCAAATAAACGTCTTTGCGGTGTTCCAGGCTGATGCTGAACCGTCACCTAACTCAGTCCTTGACTAGCTTCCTCTTCATTTATCTTCTCACCGGATCCTTCGCCGAAATTTTCGTCAGTTTTTCTCTGTTTAATTTATGACCATAACAATGGCGCCATCTTCTCTGCTTCTGATCTGCTCTTGAATCTCGTTTTCTTCACCGGTGACATTGCTCTCAACCAGCCTCCATATTGCGCTTCTTCTTCTAGGAGGATTTCTTCCTTGGAATTCCTTTTCAGATGACCAAGTATACCACAGTTATAACAAAAGTTAGGCAATTTTTCATATGCTACTTTGTACCAAACATTCTCCTCTTCATCCGCCAAGAGCCCCCCCCCCCCCCCCCCCCCCCCCCCGCTTCTCAATGGTTTTTTAACATTGAATGAGACCCGTAATCTCATGTAACTACTCCAAGGTCACGAACTATCAGCATCATATATCTTGAGGGAACCAAACATCGCTCCAATTTTCTCGGTCATTTTCTATGTTTTCATCTTTGGTGGTAGCTTCCATATCCTTACCCATATATCAGTTTCACTGAAATCTACATATCCCGCTTCTTTATCTCTTTCCACTGGTTTCTCGATCATAAGCTGGTTGTCAAAATGCCATGGCCCTCCATAGAGTGCCTTTTTCTCGATCTTCTTGACTGAAATTGGAAAGCATAGAGTCAATCACCCATTGGTTGAATATCAAAATCCTTACTCGGTTTCCATGCTGCATTTAGTGCCATATTCATAAACTTTTCTCCTGGGATTCTTGTTCCTCGGAGTAGACCCAAAGCTCCCAGTTCCTGTCACTTCCTCGACTCCAATGTCGACGTTATCGTCCTCAACTTTGACTATATTTGCCTCTTCCTCCGAAAGGTGGAAGTTTGTTAATCGTTTCTCTAGCTCTGACGCCATTTTTCATTCAAACAAAAACCTACCAAAGTAGGACAAAGAAAAGCAATACAACAAGAGAGTTGGGGGGGGGGGGGGGGGGGGGGGGGGGGAGGAAGGAAAGCAGATTAAGCTTGAATGGAAGAACAGAGGGGGTTACAACAATGAGGTTGATAAGAGAGAGGGAGACGAAAAGTCGAAAGCACAAGCTTGGAAAGCAACTCTCATAAAAGAGAAAGGGAAAAAGCTCGCAGAGCGAGAGAAATTATGATGACTAGAGGTGTTTGGCTCCATAGAGTTACCGCCACATGATATGAGGAATGGAGGTGGGATTATTAGGCAAATTATATCACGCTTTGACATATGGGTTAGAAGGAAAGGATGAATTTTTTGGGTAAGGAAGATAATTAAGGGTCCATCAACTATGAATTAGTAATCACCATGGTTGCTAAAAGCAAATTGGGTATGCAAATAAATATTTATTAATTTCTTTTTTTTTTTGGATAAATTTCATTTGAGCAAGTTACCTAAATATATTAACCATAATTTTTTCTCTCTTTTTCTCTCACTTCTACAATTTTCAACCATATATGTCTTCCTTCTTTTTCTCAATATTTTCTTTGATTTCGTTCAGTCGAACTAATATCGTTGCAACAACAAAACAATAAATCTATACCAATCCACTAAAAAAACACTACCATTCCACAAAACATCAATATCATTCTAGAAATAAAAATACTATCATTTTACAAAACACCAATACTATTGCAGATTTAATCAATACCAACACATGCAAATTAATATCATTGCATGATAATCAATACCAATGCGGAAAAAAATACCAATGCAGGTAGACGGGTCCTCATCGGATAAATTAGAGAGAGAGAGAGAGAGAGAGAGAGAGAGAGAGAGGGAGGGAGAGAGAGAGAGAGAGACTGGCAGCCGACATGAGTGGGGTGTAGAGGCGGTAGGGAGGGGAGGAATAGGGAGAGAGAGACGGACGAGGAATGAGGTGGGGAGGGGAGGAGGGAATGTGGTGAGCGGGTTGGCGGGGAGTCACCATGGAGGAGAGGGAGGAAGGAAGTTGGTGGGCAGGCTGGCGGTGAGTCGTCGGAGAGGGAGATGGAAGAAGGGAGGTTGACGACTAGATTATTAGGGTTTGGATAATTATTTAGGATTTGGAATAATATATAGAAAGTGGATAATAATCTGGTATAATAATTATTTTTTCTAAAATTATCCATAATCAATCCTAACAATTAGTTTAAAAATATTGAAAATGAATGGTATAGATGTAGGTAGCCACAATGATAGTAACCATCTATTATTAGATTATGTCATTAAGCATAGGACACTACAAAGGTTGATGGGGCATGGTTTTGAATTAATTTAAATAGTCTAACATTAGTTAACGCAATTGCACCTCTGATTTAAAGTTAGAGCTAAGAGGTTCCCAAGGAGATGGTGCAAGTATGATTTTCAATTCACTTAAACTGTCTCTTTTTTCGATACGCAATAGTTAACACAGTTGCACATCTACTTTAAAGTCAGAGCTAAAAGGTTCCAAAGAGGAAAGCGTACTGAAAATTAATGGACAGGTCTACTCTCTCATGAGGAATAAGTTGATTGTTGAGTCACTGAGTGGGCAGTGTGTTAGAGAGTGATATAAAATTCACTATAACTTTTTTTCAAAAAACTCGAGTTATTGGGACCAACTGGTTTATGACATGGTATCAGGCCTGGTTTGATCAAGTGGTTGAGTGTTCGAATCTCCATGACCCCCAATATTAACAGTTGATTAAAGCACAAGGTATGGTAGGTCTGTGCAAACTTCAAGTCCATGAGTTGGCTTTCGTTTGAGGGAGCGTGTTAGAGTGTGATATAAGATCCAACATAACCTCCTCCCAACAACTTGAGTTAGGTGATAACCTGTGCAAACTTCTCGTTTGAGGGGTGCTCAATTATAGTGCTCATAGGCGTCTTAAAATTGTCACTATTTTAGTAAAGGGTGGTTTCTGGTTTCATCTGAAGGAGGCAGGCAGACAGATCCAAAAGAACAGGTTCTACATAATTGAGTAATTAACAGCTAATCAACATAATAATTAACAACAATAGTGCTAATGAGCACACCATCTTAAGACCACTAGATGACAAATAAACAGATATTTGCAATCCACTAAACCAGCCACCAAATCTTTTCGCTCTGTCAATCAACGATACTAATAATCTCTCAATATATGCATAATCCCGTAAACGAAATTTCCCAGATATATAGATCATAAATTTGATGATCTTGCACGTGTGAACACATCAATAAACCAGACGAACACAATTGTTGGACACCAAATCAGATAACAACATGAATACAATGATTAACCCACCACACCACCAGCAAGCAACAGCACAAATCAATTTGTCTGGAACTTTAGCAGAATACTAAACAACAAAACATTGGGCAGGAGAAAGAGCTGGCACTGTGCCCCAACCAACCTGTAGCCACTCCAAACCAAAATCCAATTTTAGAACATCAGCTCATCAGCCCATGTGTTCCTTTAGTTTCTACCTTCCTTTTCCCATTAAACTGCTCTTTCCCCACCTTCATTTTTTTCTCTCTATATATAAATGCACACAAAACCAGCATATGGGTAGTGCTAAAAACAGACAACAGTAGCGGAAATCTAAGGAAGAGCTCAATCGAACACATTTTTCTGTCCTTTTTTCTCGAGGTTCATTACAGTAAAGATCGAGAAGGATGAACAAGAATGCTAGCCGTGTTGCTGTTGCAGCTTTCGCGGCGGGGACGAGGAGGATCCCGAGAAAGAGAGGGCAGGTCAAGCTGAGAATCGCAGCTGCTGCTATTCACTCCATTGTTTCTCTTCTCTCCAGAACAACTTCTTCTTCTACCTCTCCTGTTGGGAGCAGCATCAGGAAGAAATCAGCATTGCCCCAAAGTTAATTAGCTTTACATTTGTGGATAGGGAATTGTGGTCCTCTGCATTTGTACATTTTTGGCGGTGGCGTTCAAGATATGTTGAGCATGCCCTTGAGTTACTAATGTTTTGATTTCGGTTCTTACTCATAATTTCCATTTTCTCGCTTCATTTCCTCAAGCAAATGCCCGGAACAGCACAATCTGTTTCAGGGGCGGACGCACGGCTAATTGGCCACCCCTAAATTTTGAAAAAACGATTATCCAGCTCTCGGTATAAATTACGTATAGACAAAAAAATTATATAATTAATAGTCGGGGACACCCTTGAAATTTGAAAAAATGATTATCCTACTCTCATCTTTTAGTTTGCTTAAGGGAATATAAGTTGTAGTAAAGTAATTCAAACCTAGAACACTATTATTATTAATAAAAATAATTTTCTTTAGACTACAACTCATTTGTTGCTCGATTTTAAATACTGTGGAATAGTAAAATGTAATTCCCTATATCTAATTATTTTCAAAATCTAACAATTAAACAAATTAGTTTAAATACTGTTGTATGACATGTGTCGAAAGAGTTTTTTCAGCTTTGAGTTACATCAAGAACAAGTGTAAAAATCGAATATGTGATCAGTTCATGAATGATTCTAGTAGACACCAAGTGTATTTTACAGTTTTTTCGAATATAAAAACACATCATGGACTTTTTTAACTCGTACGATTCAGGTATTTTCTTATCTAAGAATTATTTCATTTTATTAATTATTTAAGAATTATTTTTATTTGATTTATTTTGTAAAAGAGGACAGCCCAACGTAAAATTTCTAGAAGCGATTTGGAGTCAGGAGGTGCAGGGGGCGGGTCTGTTTGGAGTGAAGCAGAAGTTGTATCTTCTGAAGTTAGAGCTTAGGAAGCTGAATAGATCAGAGTTCTTAGATATTTCTGCAAGAGTTAATGATAAAATAAATGAGCTTACAGCTAAGCAGGTCCAAGCTCTTCAGGACCCTCTGAAGGGGTTTTTTAGGAAGTTAGAATTCTCTCTGGAGTTTATTTACAGCTGCAAAAAGCTGAAGAGGCATTTTTATCGTCAAAAGTCTTGTATTACATGTCTTTCTCTTGGAGATTCAAACATAGACTTCTTCCACAAGTCTGCTTGTGTGCGCAATACTAGGAAGAAAATAAGGAAAATAATTTCACATAATGAGGAAGAGTTGATTGATATTCAGGACATTGTTGATGAAGTGATCTATTTCAACAAGGAATTGTTTGGAACTATCAATCAAGATGTAGTTGTGGAGTGTGATCTCATTGATAGTTGCTTGAGTGAGAAGCTGACAGACTCTGATAGGCTTATGCTTTGTGAGATGGTTTCTGGGGAAGAGATAAGAAAGGCATTATTGACATGAATCCAGCAAAATCTCCTGGCCTAGACGATTGGACAGCTGGTTTCTTCCAGAAATGTTAGGGAGTGGTTGGCCCCGATATAATTAGGGGTATCCATATTTTCTTTCAAGAAGGTCGTCTGCCAAGAGGTATGAATTCTGCTTCATTTCGCCTAGTTCCAAAAATACCAAATGCAGATAGGCTTAATGCCTTTAGACCTATTGCTTGCATAAACATTATATACAAGATAATATCCAAAGTGTTAGCAAATAGGCTGAAGAAAGTTCTTCCTTCTATCATTAGTCGAAACCAATAAGCTTTTATTCAGGGTCCCAGTATCTTAGAGAATATCCTAATAGCTCAGGAAATTGTTCAGAATTATAACAAGAGACACTTATCTTCTACGGTTGCCATCAAGGTGGATCTAAAGAAAGCCTTTGATTCTGTTCACTGGGGATATCTGATTTGTGTAATGCAGTTGATGGGATTCCCGAAACCTTATATCCAGTGGATTTCCCTCTGTCTTAGCTATGCTTGCTTTAGTATCACTGTCAATGGAAGTCTGTTTGGATTCTTTGGAGCTGTTAAAGGGGTAAGGCAACGAGATCCTCTCTCCCCCTACCTCTTTACGATTGCAATGGAGCCTTTGACTGGCTTATTAAACAAAACAGATGCTAATGGAGACATGCCTTATCACCCTCAGTGTAGGCATCTTGCTCTCACTCATCTCAGCTTTGCTGATGACCTTTTCATTTTCTCAGAGGGTTCAGGTTTGGCTTTGAGTGGGGTCAGGAAAGTATTGTACATATTCTATAAAAACTCTGGCCTGCAGTGCAATCCTGATAAGTTTGAGGTATTCTTTGGGTGGTTTGCTCTTCAATTTAAGTCTACAGCTTTGCAAGTGTCGGGATTTAAGGAAGGACATCTTCTAGTTCGATATTTGGGGCTGCCATTGATCTATGGTAAGCTGTCTAGTGTTGAATGTGCTATTTTGGTAGGCAAACTAACAAGTCAAATCAGGGGATGGAGAGCTCAAAAGCTTTCATATGCTGGCAAGTTACAGTTGGTAGAGTCTGTTCTTTATGCACTGAGTCATTATTGGATGGCGATTTTTATCTTTCCTAAAAAAGTCCTTAAATCCATTCAAAGAATCTGTTCCAATTTCCTTTGGCATGGGGATGGGGTTGGCAAGGCTAAAGTCTACTGGGATTCTATTGCTTTACCAAAAAGGGAAGGGGGCTTGGTTTAAAAGATTTGAGTTCATGGAATGCAGCATGCCTTGCTCGACTGATCTGGCTCCTTTTAGTCCAGGGAGGAAGTTTTTGGGTTTGCTCGTGTACTCGATATAGGCTACGAGGAATCTGTATTTGGGATGTCAGACTCACATCTTTTGGATCATGGATTTGGAAGCAACTCCTTAAGATCCGTCCTTGGCTTCAGTATCGAATGAATCTTGATGTGGATGGTTGTGTTACTTGGTTGGGTAAGAGGATGATAAGGTTTTCTATCTCCTTAGTCTGGGATGCCATTCGACTAAAAAAACCTGAGAAGTCTTGGTGGAGAGTTATATGGGGAAGTTTGTTCTGCCACACAATCGTTTCATCACATGGTTAATCTTCCTTGATAGGATTTCCACTCGTGATAAACTTAAGAGTTGGGGGTGATAAATGATGATATTTGCCCTTTGTGTGATGTTGCTATTAAATCTAGACAACACCTGTTCTGTGAATGTTCTTATACATATGATTTTGTTGCTGCTTTTCTGAAGTCTGCAATTTCCCTTCCTTTGGATTGGAGTCATATGTTGAGAATTGTTACTGCGAAAGCCCTGCAGAGAGGTGGTGACCTGATTGAGTGCTCTCTTTGGTGCTAGAGTCTTTGCTTCATAAGGAAGGAGAGATGTCGTCGATATTTTGGAGAAAGTCCCTGTTCCCCAATTGTTCTACCTGATGCACTTCGACAGGAAATCCGGTTGTATGGTTGTGGGAATTCTACATTCCACGAAGAGTTTATGAAGATCCCTAGTTATAGTCATATACTCTAGGCATCTGTCTTGTTTCCCTTCTGTTTTGTCATTCTGAGTTCTCTGTAAGAAGGTTTTGAGCTTATGCCTCTGTATTTTTCGAGACTCTTTGCTATTGGGCGATCTCTTCTAATTACCGAAAAAAAATTTATGGGTCCGCCACTGATCTGTTTCCCATTAGGCGTTCTCATACCGTCCGTAACAATGGGTGAATAACCATGCATAATTATTTACTTACCAGTTATAAGATTATACAACATTACCAGTACTAGTACGACGCATGGTGGTAAATGGTAATATTTGGTAGTACATAAGATTATACAACAGTGGTGTGAAAGTGTGTTATGGTAATATGAATATATTGTAGTGTAGAATGATTGTAACATGATAGTATGAATAAACTAACTGTGATTTACCACATTTCATCACCGTCTACAACAGGGTCCAGGGTGGCATATTTGGTCCTGAAAAATTTTTCCCTTGGGAAATAATCATGATAAACTTGTTCTTTTTTGGCAAAAAAAAAATTCAAAATTTGAATGGAAAAAAGGTGGTATAGAGTGATACTATATGGCAGTGGCAGATCCATAAATTTTTTTATAGGGATGTCCTCTTTCCAAAATGAAATGAAATTAAATAATTCATAAATAATAAAATATTCGACTAGTACAAATTTTAACAAAAGATCTCGACGTGTTTTTCATATTTTGAAAAAAAATATAGATTTGATATCTACACTGCTCAAAAAATATGTATATCCTACTATACAATAATTCACAAACTAATCGCATATTTAATTTTTAACTTTGTTCTTGATGTAACTCAAAGTTTTTCAACACTTGGCATGTAACCATAAAATCAATTCAAATTAAGGGTAGCTCGTAAATGGTTTAGTTGTTAGGTTTTTAAAATAGTCGGGGATAAGAAATATTGGTTTACTATTACATAGTGTTTAAAATAGAACAACAAATGAGTTGCAACCTAATGGAGAATATGTTTAATAATAGTAGTGTCCTATGTTTGAACAACACATACTACCATTTTTAATCATACACATACTACTATCGAGGGTAGGATAATTATTTTTTCAAATTGTAGGAGTGTCCTAGATTATCAATTATATTTCTTTTTATCCATACGAAACTACTACAGGGGGTTGTATAATCATTTTTCCAAATTTTAGGTGTGTCCCGGGACACCCCTAAAGCTCCATGTATCCGCCCCTGCTATGTGGTACCAGGGTGGTACGAGTGCTATGATTAACAAACCAATTTCTTTGATATCATTTTTTGTAGATCATAACAAACCAATTTCACCCGTGAAAAAATAAAAATTTGAACTCCAAATTAAAACAAAGAAGAGAAAAAATGATTAAAAGTAAAAATTCCTTCAATTTTACCTCTAAAATCTGGCCCCTATTAAAATAAAAAACTTATATCTAATTATGCAAGTGTACATAACCAAAAGTAACCACCATCTTCACCCCTCCTAACACTATTTAGCTCCGGACTTGATATTTATGCTCCATGCACCCTATATAGAGCCATATTTTCCCATAACTTAAGGTTACCCTGATCTTTTTTATTAACTTTGATTTACGTTTAGCCAGTATACAT